TTTTTTTTTTTTTTTTTTTACTGTAATATGCACCTTAAGTCCTTTCTGATGTAAGCATTCTCTGTATCATTTTGTACCACCCTTCATGGTACTGATGCTCAGCCAGCCCTTCCAGACACGGCAGCCTGGACCCCGCTCATTCCGGGGCAGCGGGCACAAGCTGACCGCGTCCCGCTCTCGCTCCAGTGTTCGTCACGCTGACCTGCGCCTTCCGCTACGGCCAGGAGGACATCGACGTGATGGGGCTGAGCTTCCGCCGAGACCTGTACTTCACGCGGGTGCAGGTGTACCCGCCTGTGGGGCCCGCGGGCGCCCCCACGCGGCTGCAGGAGAGCCTGCTGAAGAAGCTGGGGGCGCACACATACCCCTTCCTGCTCACGGTGAGAGGCCAGGGCCGGGTGGGCAGGCCTGCAAATTGCACCCTTGCGGGAACCCAGAACAGTTCTCTCTGTGATTGTCTCTTGTTTTGAGGCCTTCAAAAATAGCATCTGCCTTCGAAGGCATCATTTCCAGCTGCCGGTTGGCTCTTTCCCCTCCGCTGGCCACCTAATTAGACGAGACTATGCTGCCTGCACAGCTATAAAAAGAAACCAGCAGAAGTGGCTGCAGGAGTGCTCAGCCGACAGAGACCTGGGCGCAGGGCGGCCTCACCCAGCCTTTCCTTGGCCCGGGTGGGTCTCCTTGGCCGCATCCCTACTCTCACGGAAGTCTGACGTCATAGGCACCTGACGTCACGTGCATCTGCTCCAAAAGAGGAAGTGTCTGCCACGCCCTTTCCTACTACCATGCAGTCTCTTTTGCTGCCTCTTCCTCCTCCCCTGCTCCTCATTGTTCTTCCTCTTCTTCTTCTTCTTCTTTTTTTTGAGACAGGGACTCCCTATGTAATTCAGGCTGGCCAGCTTGGAACTCACAAGGTAGATAGCCCAGGTTGCTTCCAACTCGTGGCAATCTTTCTGCCTCAGCCTCCCATGCATCAGGATTCATGTCTACTCCACCACACCAGGAGCTTGAGGTTTAGTAGCTGTGGCTTCTGTGTGGGACCATGAAAATCTTGTGGAGGTGGACAGTGGGGACCATTGCAGTGTGTGTTTGATACCAATGAACTATATACTGAAGAGAGAGAAAATGATAACTATTATGTTATTCTAATTCACTACTGTTTCATAAATTTTTTTAATGGTACTTGCTCCCAAGCCTGGCCATGTGCTTGCTGGCAGTTTGAAGTGACAATCCCTGGTGACAATGCATCAGAACCTGAAAATGTGAAGGATTTTTTTCCCCAGCATTGTTTGTAATGGCATAACAATGAAGACCGTTACAAGGCCACCAGAGGAAGGGAGGTCAGCTACATTCTGTGCCTCATTGACGCCCTAGAAGCTGTGGCTTAGAACTTGCATGCCTCAGGCCTGCAGCCCCAGAACTCAGGAGGCTGTGGCAGGAGGGGCGTTTTTGCAAGTTCAAAGCCAGCCTGCCCTGCCTAGTATGGTGACACAGACCTGTCATTCAGGCACTTGGGAGGCTGAGGCAGGAGTTTTGCCAGGAGTTCAAGGCCACCTACAGCTGCTTAGTGAGTTCAAAGCCAGCTTGACCTACACAGCAAGACCCTGTCTCAAAACAATAGGCCCTAATCTTTCTAAATCAGGTTGGGCTACAGAAGTGAGAAAACAGAGCAGCAGACACACTCGTCACTTGGCCTCATCTCTGGTACACGCGCCTGCGCACACTCATCCCCCTGTCTATGCACACAAAATGCGTGCCAGGCGAGGACCAGCTCCTCTGGGTGTGCATGGGGCAGGCAAATCCATTGTCCTCTTGCTTCTTGTCCATCTTTCCCTAACTGGTGTGATGACTGCAGACTGCATCCGCTGAGAGAAATCCTTTCCTCTGTCCACAGTTTCCTGACTACCTGCCCTGTTCTGTGATGCTGCAGCCTGCTCCGCAAGACACAGGCAAGGTTAGTTAAAGAAGAAATACCGTGGATTTGTTTGTTCCTGTGCTCTTTCGGTGGACTTTTTTTTTTTTTTTTTTGCAGAACCGGGGATTGAACTCAGATCCTTGTGTTTGCCAGTCAAACGCTTATCCTACTGAGCCATCTCCCCGGCCCCGATTTTTGTTTGTTTTTGAGACAGGGTCTCCGTATGTAGTTCAGGCTGGCCTTGGACTCACTATGTAGCCCAGGCTGGGCTGGAGCTCAAGGCAATCCTCCTGCCTCAGCTTCCCCAGAACTCGGACTTTTAAAAGTAGCTTCTTGTCTTTGAACATGTATTTATGTTCCACACAGACTTTAGAGTTGCCATGAACCTTGAATCCCCTGTTGCAGAACTTGGAGTCGGCGGCCCATGGGTCACCACGGACACTGGCCCTGTGCCACTGTGGCTGCGCTGGCCAGGGTGGTGGCCAAAGTGCAGCCCCAGCCCCCAGCCTATGGAGGGCATGGTCCAAGGGGACACACCCAGGGTGCAGCTACTGGCACTGCCCAACGCGCTTGCTCAACCCATGTGTACTCTAAGGGTTTTTTTTAAACGAGGAGGTTTTGCCCCAAATCCCATTTCTAGTTTCTCCTAACTTGGGTGATCTGGGGGCAGTGGGGACCGTGACTCCCTGCCATGCTAGCTTTGGAGTCTGGGCTCACAGCCCCATCCCCTGCCTGGCGTCTGGGCCCCCACACCTTGCAGGGCAGGCAGAGGGAAGTCAGGTGCGCACACACACAGGCTGGAGTTTAAGAAGGACAGGGCAGGGAGGTCTCAGCTCTCCAGGATCTCCCTTAGTTCGCGGCCAGCCTGGGCTCCCCAGTAAGACCCTGTCTTAAAAAAAACAAGACAAACAGACGGCCCTAAATCCCCACACCTGCCCTTCTGCAGCCCCCAGAGGACGCCCTCTCCTGGGGCGCTAGGTCCCTTCTAATCCTCCTCCAGCCAGCCCTCCTAGGAGCGCTGTTGCTGCCTCTCCCAGAGAGCAGGCTGAGCGCTGCCTCTGCCTCAACAGAGCTGCGGGGTCGACTTCGAGGTCAAAGCGTTTGCCACAGACAGCAGCGAGGCTGAGGAAGACAAAATCCCCAAAAAGTAAGGGGGCGGTGGGATGAAGTAAGGGCTGGTGGGTAGACATGGGGAAGAAGCCGCCTGCTCTGGCCTGGGTGGCTGCCTCCCTATGGGCTGGGGTCAGGCCATTGCCTGCAGTGGAACTGGCCAGGGCCTGCACCAGCTGGGGCTCCTTGGCTCGCTGCAGGGAAAAACCGAGAAAATGATAGCAAGTGCCCAAAGGTGCCCAGATCCCTTCTTTCCTTCTTTTGGGGGGTACAGGATACTGAGCTCGGGCCTTTGTACTGAGTATGCACCACCCCCACTTCTTACTTTAAATTTTGAGACAGCAAAATCACTGTGCTGCCCAAGTCAGGCTGAAATCTAGGGCATGCCCCCACCTCCCAGAGAGCTGGGACTCCAGGCATGCACGCCTGTGCCCGGCTTCTCCTTTCTTCTAATTTTTTATTTATTATTACTTTTTAATATTTATTTATTTATTTATTTATTTATTTATTTATTTATTCAGAGCTGGGGATTGAACTCAGACCCTTGCACTTGCCAGGCAAGTGCTTATTCTACTAAGCCATCTCCCCGGCCCCTTAAATTTTATTTTTATCAACACCTATGCATAGTACATGATGAACACATTCATTGTGGGGAGTCACTACGCATGCTACGTGGATGCTGTGTGTCTTCATCTTTTTATGTCTCCTTCTGAAGTTTGCCATTGTAACTGTTTCAACCTCAACTCAGTAGCAACAGGCACATTCCTGTGTTGTGCAGCCACAGCAGTACCTATCCTTAAAACTTTTCCACCACCCTGTAGACAATCTCTGTTCCTAGGAATGAATCAGTAGCCCTGCTTAGCAACACCTTATGCTTCGTTGGGGTGGGGCGGTCTGGGGATTTTTTGAGACAAAGTCTTGATATGTAGCCCAGACTGGCCTTGAACTCAGGGCCTCCTTTTGCCTCCGCCTCGTGAGTGCTGGGATTCCAGGTGTGTGCCTCTATACCTGGACATTATTTTATGGGGTTTTTTGTTCTTGTTTTTTTTCCGGAACGGGGGATTGAAGTCAGGCCCTTGCACTTGCCAGGCAAGCGCTTATTCTACTGAGCTATCTCCCTGGCCCCTACTTTATGTTTTGTGCCTAAACCAGATCTCCTCCCCAGCCCTTCCCAACCCTCCACACTTGCATGTGCATGTGTGTCTCTCAGTGCTTCTTAGGCAGAGCACTCACATGTGTCACCTTTACACAGAGCTCTGAAGCCTGTCACAGAAGGGACTTGCACCACCCACGGCCTCACTAGGGGGGCGCTGAGTGGGCGCCTGATGGGGTGATAAACACCATGCCCCAACACCTGTGCCGCTGGTGGCACGAGCAGAGGGCCAGAGTCCAGGTCTTCCTGGGGTCCCTCCCTGGGGTCCCCTGCAGCACCGCAGGGTTCCCACTGAGACCTCTCACACAGGAGCTTCGTTCGGCTCCTGATCCGGAAGGTGCAGCATGCTCCACCTGAGATGGGGCCACAGCCCTGTGCTGAGGCCTCCTGGCAGTTCTTCATGTCGGACAAGCCCCTGCACCTCGCCGTCTCGCTCAACAAAGAGGTACATGTAGCTCTAGCCGGCTTTGACTCTAGATTGGGAGCTGGTCCCCCCATGGGTATTGGAGTAGGGGTGTGCTGGTGGGTGTGGCTATTGTCTACTAACCTCCCTTCCAGCTGGCTTTGCCTTCCGGGTCGCCACGGCCCGTGCTCTGACACAGCACTGTTAGGTGCACTACCCCAAATTGTTCACTTCTGGCTGGGTACAGTGCAGCTTTGTCTGCAATCCAGCTCATTGCTTGGAAGGCTGAGGCAGGATGATCACAAGCTGGAGGCCAAAGGGCTGGGGAGATGGCTCCATAGAATAAGCGCTTGCCTGGCAAGCGCAAGGAACTGAGTTCAATACCCGGTTCTGCATTAAAAAAAAAAAAAAAAAGTAAATAAGTAAAGTAAACTTTGGGGCCAGGGAGATGGCTCAGTAGAATAAATGCTTGCTTGGCAAGTGCAAGGGCCTGAGTTCAATCCCCAGTTCCACAAAAACAAAACAAAACAAAACAACAACAACAAACAAGTTGGAGGCCAGAATAGAAAAAGGACTGGGGCTATAGCCCAGTAGTGGAGCCTGGCCTAGCAGGTGTGAAGCCCTGGGTTCCATCCCAGTACCATGTGCCCCACCACATTACTTCCCTGGGATATTCCGGTTTCTTAGGAATGATACAAGGTGGCCGTTGTGTGTATGTGAGGTTACCAGTGAAAGGTGTCATTGTGCATAATGATGAAGCCACCTGCCAAGGCTTTCTCTGGTCCCTCTGGTCACACAAGAGCCTCACATAGCATGTGCACACACGTGTGTGTAGGCGTGCACATGAACCCACCTGGATTACACAGGTCGCTGCCAGGGAGAACCCTATCACCCAGTCTACCCAGCGGTTTCCTTGCCTTTCACTTGTTCTGTTCCCCAAAACCTCAGGATTCTACTGAAAATACCCCAGCTTCTTCCTCTGGGACACTCAGAATCCCAATATCCTCCTCATTCTTCTGCAGAAAGGGCAGAAGTTTCCAGGCCCTTTTCTAGAGGAAACATTGTCTAGCATTTTTTCTTCCTTAAAAATTGGGGGAAGCTGGGCATGGTGGTGCACACCTATAATCCTATCACTCAGGAGGCTGAGACAGGAGGATCATTGCAAGCCCAAGACTAACCTGGGGGGCCGGGGAGATGGCTCAGTGGAATAAGCGCTTCCCTGGCAAGTGCAAGGACCTGAGTTCAATCCCCAGTTCCACAAAAAAAAAAAAAAAAAAAAAAAAAGACTAACCTGGGCTACAAAGTGAGCTCAAGGCCAGTCTGAACTGCGTAGTGAAACGCTGTCTCAAAAAGACAAAAGAAAAAAAGTGGGAGAGCTGGACATGGTGGCACACACCTATAAACCCAGCACTCTGGAGGCTGAGGCACGAGGATTGCCATGAGTTCAAGGCCAACCTGGGCTACATAAGCAAGTTTAAGCCCAGCCTACACTACACAGGGGGCCCTATCTGAAAATAAAACAACGAAAGGGAAATTCAGCCACATTTCTTTAGTTAAAGGGATTCATACTACTTTAGAACACCCTGAAACTAAAGCTTTGGTGACAGTGTTTTCCCTTGCTGACCTCTCTCTTGCCTTTTTCAGATATTCTTCCATGGGGAGCCCATCCCTGTCACTGTGACTGTAACCAATAACACAGAGAAGACAGTGAAGAAGATTAAAGTGCTAGGTAGGACCCGCTCCTCAGAGCTAGAGGGCTGAGTGTTCTGGAATGTCTTAGCCTGCTCAGGTTTCCTGAGGGTCAGTCTGGTCTGATAAGGCCCCTCTGGGTCCTCAGAACAGTTTGTCTCTGTTGTCATAGGGAGCAGAACCTTAGAGGGAGATTGACCTTAGAAGTCACACCAGCCAGGCGTGGCAGCGCATGCCTTAATTCTAGCAACTTGGGAGGCCAAGGCAGGAGAATCACAACTTCAAGGCCAGCCTGGCAATTTGGTGAAACTGTGTCTTCAAAATCAAAAGAGGGAGGGCTGGTGAGATAGTTCAGCCGACTAAGCATCTAAGTGGACTAAGGGACTGGGGTTCGATCCCTGGCACCACATCTCACGCTGGCCCTACCCCTGGGCGCTGGGGAGGCTGAAAACAGGAGGATCACTACAAGTTCAGGCTGTGTAGTAAGACCTTGAGCAAAATACAAAAAAAAAAAAAAAAATCAAAGGAGGGGTTTGGGAGTGTGGCTTAATGGTAAAATGCTTGCTTGGCATGCAGAAGACCCTGTGTTCAATGGCAAAAGTTGTCATCTCACTCAGCCCCATGCCCATGTCGGGCTGGCTTTTGTCTTGGGGCGACATCCCTCATACATGATTTTCCCATCTCCCTGTGACTGTGCCTACCCAGCAGGGCTCAGCTGTAGCAGATCCTGCAGGAAAGGAGGGAGGAGAACTGCTTTGTGGGCCACTTCTAATTTTTTTTTTTGTTGAGAGATGCAGCTAGTGTCCTGGGAAAGGCATTGAATTGAAAACACAGGGGTTAGTCTGCGGGCTTGCACTAAGTGCCCCTGACATCCACAGTGGCCACTCCTTGACACCCTTTCCAGGCTTTGTGGGCTCTAACGTGAGGAACTGCTTTGTAAGTTGCAAAGGGCTGTCTCACTGTGGATGACATCCTGGTCTCTCCTTGGCTCCAAAGGCATCGAAGTGCAGCTCACATATGAGCTGCAGAAACTGACAGGTTGGGTCGACCTGGGAGGCTGACCTCTAAACTCAGAGGTTTTATTGCAACACTGGGAATCAAACCCAGAACGTCATACCCGCTGGGCAAGGATTCTACCACTGAACCACATCCCCAGCCCTAAGTTCAACTTTTAATCCTAACACTTAACGGCCAGTGAAAAAGTAGACTGTTCATGGTGACCAACTGTGCCAGCCTCCCCAGACGAAGGGTGTGGAATTTCAGTGCTTAAATGCACTGTGTCCTGGTAAGTCACCCTGGGTATCTGCTATGGCTCGAGTGTGTCCCCCAAAAATTCATGTGTTAGAAAGGCAACCCTCAAATCCATACATTAGGGATATTTGGAGATGGGACTTTTAGGAATTAAGTAGGATTAGAAGAGGTCATGAGAGTAGAGCCCCACAATGATATTAATGGCTTTTTAGGAAGAAGAGAGACCCAAGCTAGCACCCCTGCTCTCTCTTTCATGTAATCCCCTGCTGTGTTGTGCCCAGCACAGAGTCCCCACCAAGCATCAGCATCTTGCGTGGCCTCCCCAGCCCCCAGGGCCACAAGCCAAATAAAACAAACCCTGTCTGTGGAATTTAGCTACAGCAACAAAAAGATGAAACACAGTGCCATATGCTTTCTCTGCGTGTTTGTGGTAGATGAAGTCAGTTTTCGAGTGTAAATTTTCAACTTCCAACTTTGTTGGGTGTCAGCGCCTTAGTCATTTCCTTGTCTCTGGGAAGTAACACCTGGCACCTACAGCTGCAAGGAGGAATGTTTTATTTTGGCTCATGTTTCAGTGCAGGGTTGGCCACTCCAAAGGAACAGTGTGGCACAGGGGGAGGAGGAGGAGAGCTGCCCACTGCATGGAGCACAGGAAGCAGAGAGAAGGGAGGGTGGGGAGGAAGATAAAGCAGTCCAGACCACACCCTCCTGGGCCATGCCCTTCAAAGGCCACCACCATGTCACGCCCAGGCCATGCCCTGGTCAGCCTCTTCCCACCACACCACGCCTCTAATGGTGGTTGGCAGGGGGCCCTCATAATCCAGTCACCTTCCTAATGCATAAGGCTTTGAGGGCAGGCTTGATAAAGTATAGTTATTTCTGTTTCTCAAAGTTCTGTGAATCCACCCTGACAGTGAAGCCTCTAACCATGAAAGGAGCTAAAGAAGTTTTCTAAAATAAAATGTTAGGATCGTGAGATAGCTCAGCAGACTAAGAGCCTGCTCAGGCAAGCTCAGGGACCAAGGTTCCATCCCCTACACCACGTGCCGCGCAGGCCTCACTTCAGAGCACCTAAGCCAGCAACAGAGTCCGGGCCGTAGTGGTGCACACCTGTAATCCCAGCGCTGGGGAGGCTGAAAACAGGAGGATCACTACGAGTCCAGGCTGTGTAGTGAGACCTTGTACCAAATACATTAAAAAAAATTAATAAAACAAAATGTTAATAGATTTCTATAGGCCGGGTTCTGTGCTGAATGCTTTAAATTATTTCTTTTCATCTTTGAATTTGATCTTATTGTTTTGTTTTGTTTTTTGAGACAAGGTCTTGCTATGTTGCCCTGACTGGCCTCAAACTCACAGTGATCTTCCTGCCTCAGCCCCCAAGTGCTAGGATCACAGGCATGCACTACCCCATGTGACTGAATTTTATTTTATTTTTTATTAATTAAATGTATTGGTACATCTTAGGAATGCATAACGATCACATTCATCATAAAGAATTTGTTTCTTTTTTTAAATTTTTTTTTAATGTGTGTGTGTGTGTGTGTGTGTGTGTGGCCAGCTCAGCCCACCAGGGGGCGGGGCTGGCTGGCATGTGGTGCTGGGGGATTGAACTGCAGTCCCTGTGCTTCACTAAGCTTGTTCTAAGTAGGTGCTTTAGACCACTGAGCCATCTCACCAGCCTGGAATTTGTTTGTTTGTTTCTTTTCTTTTCTTTTTTCTTTTTCTTTTTTTTCTTTTTTTTTTTTTGGTGGAACTGGGGATTGGACTCAGGCCCTTGCACTTGCCAGGGAAGCTCTTATTCTACTGAGCCATCTCTCTGGCCCCAATCATAGGGGATTTGTACCTGTACATGATATAACTTGATTTTTTAAAGTCATCTTTTCACTCCTCACTACCTCCTTACAGATTGGATGCGGTAATCACCCCTATGGATTTGGAAACTGAGGTGTAGAGGAACTAATTAATTCACCCACAGTTAGTGGCTAAGCAGAGCTTTGAGCCTAGGCAGCCAGGGTCTTGAGGGCATCTGTCCTCACCCACCGGGTTACACCACAATCAACGGTGCCGGCTTCTAGCCAGTTTCTAGAAAGCTGGGAGGCTGGCAGGGGGCGCTCATTAAATACACAGGGCTGTGGAAGGAGCTAGGTGTGGAGAGAGAACAAATGGCAGGGTGGGGGCCACAGGACTCTGCCTTTGACACCCCCCCAGGGGGCAGACTAGCTCTCAGGAGCTGTCATCTTAGGGTCTGCTTCATGGGTGGGGACTGGCAGAGCTGGCAGGTCAGGGGGAACAGAGGTAGCCTGAAGGCACAGGGTGGAAATTGCAGTCTTCAAGCTGGGAGCTGGGGGAGCCAAAAGTAGACTAAGTGGTCACCCACAGGGGCAGCCTGCTGCGTTCTGGAAGGCCGGGAGGGCCCGTGCTGATCACCTGACTCTTTCTCCCTCTGCAGTGGAACAGGTGGCCAATGTGGTTCTCTACTCGAGTGATTATTACACCAAGCCGGTGGCCATGGAGGAAACCCAGTAAGTAGCGCTGCGGTTCCATTTCCGGGCTGGCAGCCTTCTTTCACACCCGGCTTCCTCTTTTGCTCATGCCAAGAGGGAACTAGCATGCGGCCCGGCCCCAGCTTTTCACTTCCTTCCCCTTTTCTCGCTGGAGAGGCACAAGGAGAGTCAGCATCAGAGTTGTATAAGCCTCGCCCAATCTCACCAGACTTGTAGGTCCACCCATACTAACGGATGAGGAGAGGACCAAAGCCAGGTGGGCCCTTCTGTGTGTCCTTGGAATGAGTCAACAGGAATGTGGCCCTGTTTCTGCCCCTTGAGCAGATGGCCAGGCTGGGGCTCTAGCTCTTGATCTTTCCTTTGGTTTTTTTTTTTTTTTTTGGTGGAACTGGGGTTTGAACTCAGACCCTTGCGCTTACCGGGGAAGTGCTTATCCTACTGAGCCATCTCCCTGGCCCCTGTCCTTCGATTTGAAAATCATGTATCAGTGACTGGAGCTATTCCCATTCTTGGCCAGTTGTGACTTCTGTCCTTTCATAGAATCAAAACCAAATGAGATTCCTGCAGCAGCTCCTTCGTTCAGGCAGGGGAGCCCTGTGGGGTCTCCCTTCAAGCTAAGAGGTCAGAGAGGTTCATTTACTACGGAGCCAGAGCCGGGAAGGAGGGTCAGCTCCCACCTGGGAATGCCTACCCCACTCATCTAGCTGGCCTGTGCTAAGTACTGGGTAAAACAAGGCCAGGCTGAATTGGCATGGAGGGGAGGAATTGATGATGGAGAAGGATAAACTGACGCACTGAGTTAACATCACAGAACATCTAAGAGGCAACTTGAGGATAAACTATTACTCAAAATGACTTCAGCCTTAAGTTTAAAGCTAGGTCTGCAGTGGAAGCAGGAAAGAACCACAACTCTTGGCTGACGTTGTGCCAGGGCTGGGGTCTGTCCACGTGCTGGGCACACCCTGGTCATTCTTGCCCAGGGTCTCGGCCCTCACTGGCCTTTTGGCAAATGGTCAGGTGGTTCTCAGGATCCTGGCAAGTGTTCAGAGACCTCCGAGGATCAGGAGGGAGCCTGGCAGCTGGGCCCATCAGCTTAGTGGGTCACTCAGAAGGCTGCAGGACACAAGCCACTGTCCCCAATCTGGTGGCTCCTGGGGCTTCATTGGGCAGGCCTCTTCTAGCTGGGTTCCAAGCTGCTGCCTACTGTCTGCACCCAAATCCTGCAGGCCCTAGGAAGTGGCCCTGGGGCCTTGGCACTGTGCTCTGGCAAGATCTGCTGCAGAAAAATCCAAGTCCATCACTGAGGCGCCTTCCTACCAGTGGTGTGTGCTTCTGTCACTGCTGCTGCCCGAGGGGAGCTCATAAGAGAGCACACACGAGGCCCAGGTGGGAGGATGTGGCTACCCCAGCTCCAGCACAGTGCTGTACCATACTTCCTGTAGTCACCAGAGGCAGGATAAGCTGCAGCTGCTTTAAACTGCCCCCTGGGGAGGAGGGGGAGCGGAACAGGGAAGTCTTCAGTGAGAAGCAGTGGAAGTCAGCTGTCTGAGACCGCACTCAGGAAGTGGCCCTGGGCCACACCCTGCCTTCCTCTTCCAGCCTGGGGATGGTGGTGTGGGTGGGGGGTGTGCTGTGGGTGCACGCTCTCTTCGGCCTGGGAATGTGCAGCCACCTGGGTTGGCATGGGTGCCAGGCTGGTGAGCACAGGTGCATCGACCTGTGGGGCTGCCTCATGAGCCCCCATGCTGCATGTGCTCCTGCTTTTCTGTGTCCCCAACTCTCCCCTCCAGGCTCTGCCTGCTCACCAACCGTGTCACCTGCTAGTCCTCTTTGTAGGGACAGTGGTTGGTGATGAGGGCCTTCCCAGCTGGACTTGTGGCTGACCCTCATCCGAAGGCTCTGCCACCGTGAAGCCTTAGGTGGAGACTAGCCAGGGTCTCTGAGCCGGTTGCTTATACTTAACACCACAGAACATTGTAGAAAATGTATGATTCAGAACAGGCTGGGGGGCTTGCACATTAGCTCAGTTGTTTACAGCGCCTGCTTGGGCAAACTCAGGTGCAGGGGACTGAGGTTTGATCCCCAGCTCCACAAGCCTCACTAAACCCACCCTTAAGACAGCCTGAGCCAGCCAATAAATAAATAAATAAATAAATAAATAAATAAATAAATAAATAAATAAATGTTCTTAAGTTTTTAGGGCCAGCCAGATAGCTCAGCAGACTAAAGCTCCTGCTTCAGCAGAGCACAGTGGCTGGGATTCAATTCCCAGCATGCCGTGCTGGCCCTAGCCCTGACCCTGGGGCGCGCTGAGATGGCGATTGAGACTGGGTGTAGTAGCGTGCGTCTGTAATCCCAGCCCTTGGGAGGCTGACAACAGGAGAATCTATGAGTCAGATCTATGTAGTGAGACGCTGTACACCCTATACACCCTGTCCTAAATTCATTAAAAAAAAAGGGGGGGGGCTGCCCCTTAGCTGAGCTCCTTAAGTGGCTGCTTTAACAAAGCATTTAGGCTCAGGTTGCTGTGGTTCGATCCTTACAATTCAAGCCAGCCAAAACCTGCCCTGAAGGCATTTGGAGCAAAAAAAAAAAAAAAAAAAAAAAAGAACAGGCTGGGACAAGAGGCTAGGGGAACCATCCCAGGGTTTCTGCCAGCTTCAAGGTTCCCTGACAGCAGAACTGTGGTCCAGGAAATCACTCAATATCAGATTGGGGGCTGCAGGGTAATGATGTCTATGGTGGTTGTAAATCTCCCTGTTCTTTTTTTTTTTTTTTTTTTCCTGTCTTTTTGAGATAGGGTTTCCCTCTGCAGTTCAGGCTGGCCTTGAGTTCACTTTATAGACCAGGCTAGCCTCACTCACAGTGATCCCCATGCCTCAGCCTCCTGGGTGCTGGGGTTACAGACGTGTACCTTGGCACCCAGTTCTCTCCGTTCTTCCTACAGAGAAAAAGTGCCACCCAACAGCACTCTGAGCAAGACACTGACGCTGTTGCCCTTGCTGGCAAACAACCGAGAAAGGAGAGGCCTTGCCCTAGACGGGAAGATCAAGCACGAGGATACCAACCTTGCCTCCAGCACCATGTGAGTTCCTGTGACTGGCAGGATGCATGGTGGGCAGGTGTAGGTGTGGGGCCCCAAGGAGCCCTCCCCTCCCAGCCACACCATGAAGTGGTACATTGGCAGCTACAGGCCCAGGCTTCTGCAGCCCCAGCCTTGCTACCTCCTGCTGGGCTGCCCTGGGCAGATGGCCTGAGCTGTCTGAGCACCCCCATCTCCCCATCTGTAAAGTGGGAGTGATAACAGTTCCAACCTCATGGATCATGGAACGGTGACACATACTGAGACAGCCCTGGAAGTGTGATGCCTAACACCCAGTGACCAAGAACAAACCGAGTCTCGGAGCTGGACACTCACACATTTATTCATTCCTGCCAAGGAAGGTCAAAGTGGCTTCAGGCATCAATGAGATTCTGGATTTAGGCTCCAGAGCTGGGAAATGCTATACATCTGGGCTTCGTGGCACATACCAGTTATCTCAGCACTCAGGAGGCTGAGGCAGGAGGATTGTTGTGAGTTCGAGGCCAGCCTGGGCTACACAGTGAGTTCATGGCCAGCCTGAGCTATAGAGCATGACCTTGTCTCAAGAAATAAACAACAAAAGAAGATGCTGTACAGCAACGCTCCAAAGCCAGCACCCGCAGCAACTCACAGGCAGCCTGTTAGCCTTCTGTTTCTGGAGCCTGCCGTCGGAGAGCTCAGGCGCTTGGGGAGCAGCCAAGATCTGGCTCGAGACCATAGCCACCCTTGCCCCCTCTGGGGTCACTCTGTGCCCACCACATCACTTCCATAGTGACTGTGGGAGTCATAGTTCTGTTGCTCACATACGTTCTGCGGACCTAACAGGGACATTGGGGCACCAAGTACAGAGAACACCTGGCAGAGAGCAGGTGGTGGTTGGAGGTTTGTCTGAGGGTAAATTGCCACGCTGTCATGTTAGGGGTTAGGGGTTTTTTTGTTGTTGTTTTTTCTTTCTTTCTTACTTTTTTTTTTTTTTTTTTCAATTGTTTCATCACTGGGAAATTTAACAACTGAAATGAAACTTTGTCTCTCTTTTTTCTTTTCTTTCTTCTTCTTCTTTTTTTCAATCTTTTTGAGACAGGGTCTTGCTATGCAGCTCAGGCTGGCCTTGAGCTCACTTTGTAGCCCAGGTTGGTCTAGAACTCACAATGATCCTTCTGTGTCAGCCTCCCAAGGGCGGGGATTATAGGCGTGAACCACCATGCCTGGCTCTGTGTTGGGTTTTAAAGCTTGATTGTGAGGCTCCAGGGAAAGATAAACAGGGAAACTGATACCCTAAACCTACATAAAAGTGTGGCAGGCATGACACCAGCAGAGGCACTACACTGTCAGCGTACTGTGGTTTGTGGAGTAGCTCCTAAATACGCACACTGCTCCACATTGCTGTGAGGAGGCTGTGCTCGCCTCATTTTAGGGTAAGCAAATGATCTGAAAATGGGGGAGGGCTGCCCATTAGCTCAGGTGTTTAAGTGCCTGCTGAAACAAAGCAGTGAGGCTCAGGATGCTGTGGTTCCGATCCCCTCATCCTCGCGCCAAACCAGACCTGCCCTGAAGGCAACCTGAGCAGCCCCCCAAAAAAGAAATCCCCCCCAAATGATCTGAAAATCGGGCTGCAGTGCAGGCGCCCAAGTCAGTCAGTGGCAGAGCAGAGGGGCTGGGGCCGGAGCTTGCTGGGTGCTTGGGCCTGTGACAGATGAAGCCCAGGGCCTTTCCCGTGGGACATGCGGCTGCTGCAGGGGGAGACACAGATTTCACACACCAGGTGTGAGGTGCCAGGACTCTGGGAGCCTTGCGGTGCTGTAGGGGACCCGGTCTCTTCCTGGGCTCTTCCTGCGGTACCTTTCACCTTTCTCTTCCTTTCTGTGGGGCAGCATTAAGGAGGGCATGGACCGCACTGTCCTGGGCATCCTGGTGTCTTACCATATCAAGGTGAAGCTCACGGTGTCAGGGTAAGTGTCCTCGTTCTGCCCCAGCTTGGCCTGTGGCACGCAGCACTGTCCCCTCCCTGACGCCTATCTGTCAGCTCCCCTGTAGCCCACTGGGAGAAGCCCTGTTGGGGCACCGTGCTGGCAAAGTGGGAGTGCGTGGGCATGCATGCGCGAGTTGATAAGCGCAAATCAATGTAGTCGGGTGTCATATTGTGCTTCAGAAAGGAATGTTGGAGGAACTCAGAGCAAACCCGTCCTTAGTTCTGATTGGGAGGCATCAAGGGCTAAGAGTGCAGCTCAGCAGTATAGCACCTGCCAAACAGGCGCAAGGTTGTGAGTCTGATTCCCTGGACCAAAAAATAAAATAGGGCTGGGGAGATAGCTCAGTAGAATAAATGCTTGCCTGGCAAGCACAAGGGCCTGAATTCAATCCCCGCTTCGCAATAAATGAATAAATAAAATAAAATAAAATAAAATAAAATAAAATAAAACAGGGCCAGGGAGATAACTCAGTGGCATAAGTGCCTACCTAGCAAAAGCAAGGTCCTGAGTTCGATCCCCAGCAAGATAAATAAATAGGGCTGGCCAAATAGCTCAGTGGATTAAAGTGCCTGCTTAGGCAGAACACATTGGCCGGGGTTCAGTCCCCAGCATTCCATGTTGGCCCCTCCTTGGGGAGCACTGAGATGGCAATTGAGACTGAATGTGATGGCGCACGCTTCTAATCCCAGTGCTTGGGAGGCTGTAAACAGGAGAATCACTATGAGTTCGATCTACATAGTGAGACCCTGTAGACAGTGTAGACCCTGTAGACCCACAGGTGGGTAGGAAGGGCCAAGAAGGTGCTGGAAGTTGTGAGTTAGCTCCAGAGAACTGAGAAGAGGGTGTCGTCCCACCTGTGGCCGAGGGGAATGAGGTGCAGCCGGGCTGTGGCGGGGGACATGATCACAGTTGTTGTTTTATTCCCTAGGTTTCTGGGAGAGCTCACTTCCAGGTAAGCCCTTCTACCTTCATCTTCTGCCTGATTGCTGGGGTGCCAGGGCTACTGAGCCTAGCGTCCAGTAGCAACTCGGGAACCCCGGTTTCCAGGGAGAGGTGTGATGAATGGTCCCCGCTGTCTCTGGATGCGTGGAAACCCACTTGGCCAGTCTACACGCACACAGAATGCTACACATTCCATGCAACTGCTTTTTGTGTGTGTGCGCGCCACAATACACAAATATGAATTTTACCATTTTAATCTTGCAAAGTATACAGTGCAGTGGCACTAAGTATATGTCCAGGGTTTTACAACCAGCATCCTTAGTTAGACCCAGAACATTTTTACCATCTACAAAGCAAACTTAACACTCGTGACGTGGTTGGATTCTTGCCCCTCCCTGCAGCCCTGGCAGCTTCTACTCTGCTTTGTCTCTCCTGGATTTGCCTGTTCTGGACATTGCCTAGAAATGGAATCCTGTAACGTGTGGCTCTTTGGTGACTGGCTTACCTAGAAGAATGTTTTCAAGGCTTGTCTATGTTGTATCATGTACTTCATTCCTTTCCATGGCCAAGTAATATTTGGCTACATGGACAGAACATGTGTTGTTCATCTGTTCTTCTGTTGGCGGACACTTGGGTTGTTTTTACCTTTTGGCAATTATGAAGTGACATCTGTCTTTTCAATCATGCACAAAGAAGCAACACGTTCAGAAATGTTTGAGACAGCACATACCTGTATCCCAGTACTCAGGAGCCTGAGGCAGGGGGAGCACAAGTTCAAGGCCAGACTGAACTATACAGTAAGAGCAGGTCTCAAAAAACCAAGACAAACAAACAGACAAAATGTTTGAGACCAGTCCTATCGCCTGATAGGTTTTGATGGTGTCGCAGCAGAGAAATAGGCAGAAGGAAAAAGGGGAAAGGGGCTTCATTATCTTGGAGGACACAGAGAGAAATTTGGGAAGATAAGGAAGTCTCTGGATTGGAACAAAGCGAGGCTGAGGCTTTTATGGCCTGTTGCCAGGGGTAGGGTTTGAGGGGATGTTTAGATACACCTGAGGAGTGGATTGGGGCCTTCCCCAAGGTGGCGGGAAAGGTAAAAGGAAATTGCACCCTGGGCTGAGTTAGAGAAGAAGCGGGGAGGTGGTCTCTGGGAAGATGTGCTTTGGTTTTAAGGGCTTCAGCCACATTGGATGACCACCATAATAATTCAGCAGTTCAAACTAGGACCAGAACCTTTCAGCGCCTGTGTCCCTCTCCTGGAAACCTGAGTTACACTTGTTCTTCCACCTCCATCACCTGGCATTTTGTGAATAGGTGCGCTCCACCCAGAAGTCAGCCTGGGTTAGGAGTAGGGCGTCCTGGGAGCCAAGGAGCCACTCCTTTTTTCTCACCCCACCCCACATTTCCATCCATCCTCTTTCCGGATTTCCTTTCTGCCCACTTCCTTCCTTCTTTATGCATAAATTCCAAACCACTCCAAAGCCCTCTAGCAATTGAATTTGATGGGTTGTGCTCCTCTTTGTCCTGCTCTTTGACAAGAGAAGACCAGCACATGCTCAGCATACCAGATATCTCTGTCTCTCACTGTCTGTCTGTCTGTCTGTCTGTCTGTCTGTCTGTCTGTCTGTCTGTCTGTCTGTCTCTAGCACCTCTCTATATAGTTTAACCTTGCTTGAACTTATAATGTAACCTAGGCTGGCCTCCACCTTCACTGACCCATCTGCCACAGCCTCCCGAGTGCTAGCTAGGGTTACAGGCATGCACCACCACGGTGGCCTGCAAAGAATATTTTAAAAAACTCTTTCCCTGGGATTTCACCTTGTCTCTTCCCACGTCATCGTGTCACCACAACTAGTAACCAGGGCTACGGGAAACCCAAGACCTACTAGGATGGCCTCAGCCAGGCCAAGGGAAGTTCCTGGACTGCATTCCAGGGAAGGTATTTCAAATTCCTGTCCGACCACTTCCTGATCTCTGCTTTGTTTGTTTTTGTTTGGAATCCCACTCGCTTGTCCTCCGGCCTGAGCCTGGGGATCTTTTGCAGTCTCTGTAGGCCCAGCTTTCCGCTGTGTGACCTGGAGATGTGTGCGTGTGTCCTGGGGCGCGTGGGGTACTCACTGATCTGCACCCTTCTCTTTTAGTGAAGTGGCCACGGAGGTTCCCTTCCGCCTCATGCACCCCCAGCCGGAGGACACAGGTCAGTGGTGCTGCTGTCTGGGCTGTCCTCGCTGTCCCCTTCAGGTTTACGCCGTTCGTATTTCCAGTCTTTATTTTTGTGTGTGTGGTACCGGGGATCAAACTCGGGACCTTGCACTTGCCAGGCAGGCGCTTATGTAACTGAGCTATCTCTCTGGCCCTTGCCAGTCTTTCTTGACTGCACTTCTCAGTATGGAAGTGGCCAGCCAGGTGTCGCTCGTGGGGAGATCTGCTCAGTCCTGAGCTCCTCCTCCTGAAAACAAAACAGCGACTGCCTTGGGAGGGTTTTCAGGGGTGATTTCCCAGCAGAAGTTCGGCTGCCAACGATTTGGCTTTAGATTTAAAGATGATTTAGGTGACAAATATATTTCAGAGCCTGAGGCTGTTGTATTTCATTTGGGGGAAAAAGCCCTCATATTTCATTTGGAAGCACTAACAGGCATTTAGAAGATGAGAAATATGTTTTGCAAGTGGCAGCTGCAGTGAGGAAATAGACAATGCCAGAAGAGGGGGTCAGGCCGGGTTTCTGACCCTCTGCTGGGCTGAGTTATAAATGTAGGCGCTGTCCTGTCTGTGCACGGTAGGTGCGGGGACACAACTGTGTTCACGCAACTCTGCAGGCACACTCACACTGGTGGGAGGGCTAGGCAGATAGTGCGCACCTCTAAGCCCAGCACTTGCCTGTGCAGCGGATCATTGTGAGCTTGAGGCCAGCCTCGTTACCTAGTGAGCTCCAGGCCAGCCTGGACTACTAAGTGAGACTCGGCCTCACACAACAAAACAAAACAAAAATAAAGAAATACATAAAATAAAAAGGGCTGAGATTGTTCAGCGGATTAAAGTACCTGATTAGGTGGATGCAGGGACTGGCATCCCCTGTGTGCCATGCCAGCACTGCCCCGGTGGCCCACTGAGATGGCAATTGAGACTGGGCACAGTGGCACGTGCCTATGATCCCAACACTTGGGAGGCTGAAAACAGGAGGATCATTACAAGTCTGATCTGTATAGTGAGACCCTGTACTACATACATAAAAATAAATAAATAATAAAAAGGCTTGAAGTATAGTTCAGTGGGGGAATTCCCCCCTCCCATTTCAATATCCATTACCAAACAAAAAGACATAGGAAGTAGCAGAAATGAAATAGGTGTGATCTCAGAAATTCTCAGGAAAAATTCACAGTGTATTAAGGTAGGCTGGTTGGCAGGAAAAACAAACTACAGCAACAACAAAACCCTGAAACCGTGTGAGTGTGACTTCTCCATAGTTAGATAATTAAGAATATTTTAAGTAAAAGTGGTATAAACTGGTGCATGCCTGTAATCCCAGCACTCAGGAGGCTGATGCAGGAGGATCATTCCAAGTTCAAGACCAGCTTGAGCTCAAGACCAGCCTGAACTACATAGACCCTGTCTCAAAATGGCCAAAAAAAGTGGTAGAAATCTTCAGGATTTATTTTTCTCATATTTCATAAATAGTTTTTTGTATTGATATTAAAATGTCATTTAAATGTTGAGACAACCCTCTGTATCTCTCAAAGTATCTTTCCAACTTTTTTTTTTTGTTGTTATTTGTTTTGAGACGGGGCTTACTATGCAGTTCAGCCAGCCTTGGACTCACTGTGTTGCCCACCCAGGCTGACCTCAAACTGCCAGCAATCCTGCCTCAGCCTCCTGAGTGCTGGGATTACAGGCGTGCATCACCATGCCCAGCATCTTTCCAACTACTTTGCATTCAAATCCTCAATTCACTTTTCCAAAAGCTTCCACTGGGAGGAAAATAGAGGGTTTTGCATTTTTCCTTCATTAATGATTCAAGCATCAAAATACTATTTTTAGACAGCTCTTTGGGACTAATTAGGGCAGCAATCCAGGAAGGCCCAGATGAAGCCATCTTTAAATACAATTACAATTTTTATCTCTGAGATTAAGATGCTTTCTCATTTCTTTCAAGGACCTGAGGAAGACAGTCACCTGAAATGACATCAGGGCTTGCATTGGGTGGTTTTAGACAGACTTGGGGACTTAACTTGGGAGAGGTACAGCTTTTCTTCCTCCACTGCTGATATTTTAACCCTCTGGTCATTATAGCCCATACAGTGGACATCTCATGGAATCAGGATGTCACAGTGATCTTTTGTCCTATGGATTTCAGGGAGTAAGACTTAGAACAAATCCCTCTGAGATTGCAGAGCTCTAACTGCCTGAGATTTATGGATGACCTGATCTTGCATCTCCTGTCTTGCCTTCCTTCTCCCATGCATCTGTCCCTATGAAGTAATGTAAAACTGCTAGTGAGGCCAGGTGTAGTGGTGGTGCACTCCTGCAATCCCAGCACTTGGGAGGCTGAGGCAGGAGGATCACCATCAGTTTGAGGCCAGCCTGGGCTTCAAAGAGAGTTCAAGGCCAACTTGAACTGCATAATGAGACCCTGTTTCAAAAAGACAAAAGACAGGGCCGGGGAGATAGCTCAGTAGAATAAATGCTTGCCTGGCAAGTGCAGGGTCCAGAGTTCAGTCCCCAAGACAAAAGACAGAGGTGGGGGGGGTGGGGAGATAGCCTGATCCCCTGTACCAGGAAAAAAAAAAAAAAAAAGCGAAAGCAAAGCAAAACAAAATGCTGATGAGTTTTGTTGTCTTCTGAAGACCGTCCTTCCTGAATTTAGGGATGTCAGTTGCCCCTCCCTGCTGCCTACTCTGTCAAGGGGAGGTCTGGTTAGCATACTGTCACCCTTAGTATTCTGGGGCTGCAGGGCCTTTCTTGCAGGGGAAGTTTCTGAAAGTCGGCTTTTCTTTTTTGGTTTCCTGTGCCCACAAACCCGGCTCCCTCCCTTGCTGGCTTGCAGGGAGCCAGGGACACAAAAGCAAAGGGCACTTGGAACGCTGTGTTCCTCAGGTCCTCTGCAGCTCTTCTTTCACACCAGAACTTCACCCGGTGGGCAGAGAGCTCAGAAAGCACAAAACGCTCCAACTGAGACTAATTGAAACACATGACAAATCGGCTGCCCTTGGAGGTCAGGGCATGCACAGAAACTGAAAAGCGAGGGGCCAGGTGCGGCCTATGAGCTCCAATACACCCCTCACCCTGGGGTGCTGGGGAACAGGAGCTCCTAGGTGTCCCCACCCCTGAGAGCCCAAGGGAGTGGTGTCTGGAGCTCTGGCATCCAGCAGCAGCAGCAGCAGCAGCCACAACAGCAGCAGCAGCAGCAGCGTGACTGGGACTTTGATAGGGTCACAGGATGCTTAGGGAGAAACATTTAGAGAACAGTAGTGTTTGGGGAAAGGGTCCAGTGGCAGCGGCACAGCTGGAGGGGATAATGGGGTGAGGCACTGATGAGTGCTCCTGAGGCCCTGGGTTCCATCCCCATACTGGGGGAGAAAACTGGTGATCAGAGCCCTGTGTGGTGGCACACCTCTTGATCCCAGTGCTCAGGCTTGGGCAGGGGGGTCACTGTGAGTTGAAGGACAGCCTGGGCCCCATAGCGAGACTCTGTCTCAAAAAACAAAAGCTGGGGCCAGGGAGATGGCTCAGTAGGATAAGCACTTGACTGGCAAATGCAAGGATCTGAGTTCAATACCCGCTTTGGCAAAAAAAAAAAAAAAAAAAAAGCCACTGCCATGGACACACCCCTAGACCCCCTGACCTCTCACACCACAATCTGCTAAGGGGAATGTCCAGGTACTGCCATCCAGATTCTGTGTTAACTTACTTGTCTTTCTTCCCCTCCCCCATGCCTTCATTCATGCTTGCAGCAAAAGACAGGTGAGCCCGTCGGTGCCACTCAGAGTTCCCTGTATCCCGTGACCCTACCTCACATGCGAACCCCTCCTGCAGTGTCCATGCATGTCTTTTGTGTCTACCTGCTCCTAGGGACTTAGGTGCCTGCACAAGCTTATGCTGGCTGTGTCTCCCGCTCTGTGGATGATTGCCTTTTGTCCTATTTTTTTTGTTTAGTAAAAAGTGTTTGAAGGAAAATCCTAGGGTCCCCTGTTCCATTCTAGGAGAACCCTAATTGGGTTCCTTTGGTACAATAAGATTGAGGGTTTTGTTTCTCTGAAGATATTCTTGGTTTCAAGGAGCATGTGCAGCCAGGCTTGGTGGCACATACTTAGAATCCCAGCACTCGGGAGGCTGAGGCAGGAGGGTTACTCTCAGTTCCAGGCCAGCCTGGGCTACATAGTGAGTTCAAGGCCAGCCTGAACTACTTAGTGAGATCCTGTCTCAAAAAGAAATCAAGGGCTGGTGAGACAGCTCAGCAGACTAAGTGCCTGCTTAGGCAAGCAGAGGCACCACATGCCGCATCAGCCCCGCCCCAGGTGCACTGAGCCAGCAACAGAGACTGAACATGGGGGCGCATGCCTGTAATCCCAGTGCAGCGGAGGCTGAAAACAGGAGAATCACTAGGAGTCCGAGGGGTAACGAGACTCTGTACCAAATACATAAAAAAAAAAAAAATCAAAGAGCATGTACTGACCAAAATGTTGCCTGTTTTCATTTTTTTTAGTCTACAGGATGAAAATTTGGTTTTTGAGGAGTTTGCACGCCAAAATCTGAAAGATGCAGTTGAAAGCGGGGAAGGAAAGAAGGAGGAAGAGGCTGCCCCTGATGAGTGATTGGTGGACTCCGAGCTGTTTAGGACCTGTGGTTCCAGAGCAATGAGCGAGCCCCAGAAACATGCTAGCTGTGGAAATAGGAGTCTTCCTCTTGGAAATAAAGCATTTTCTGCATCTGGTCACGGGTCTGACTGATTGGCTGGGTCTGCTGAGCTGATGTCCCTGACATAGGGTCCGTGGAACGTGGGGGTGGGCAGCTGTGTCAGGAGGAAAGGTCAGCCTTCCACAGAGTATCTGGCGTGGTCCACGGGGGCTCTGAAAGCCGAGGTGTTTGCTGCTGGGGACTGGGGAGGTGTAGGGCTTTCCCAGGGGTCCTGGTTCATTTAAGCTGCTGCTTCAGAAACACATGGGCGAGTTTTAATTGCCCAGTCCATCTGAGCTCTAGGCACGGTGAGGAGCGCCTGAGATACACTGAGCAGAGAACAGGCACTGCAGGGCGTGGTGTGCAGGCCTGTAAGCCCGGTACTGAGAGGCTGATGCATGAGGAGCGCTCAGAGTTCAAGACCAGCATGAGCTACGCAAAAGAATAAAACAAAAAGCCCCAAGCGCCCCCCCCAAAACAGTAGATCCCGGAAATGCATGGGGGTTCTTTTCCTAGAGCACCTGCAAACTGTGAAAAGTCACAAATTTCAGATATGGTCAGAAAAATGCTTATAAATACCCATTTTTGTAGTTTAAATCCTAAATATGCTATGTTTCCCATAGTTATGTGATTTAACTTAAGGAAATACTGTAATGATAAAGCCCTAGAAGATGCGGGGCCTTTTGGTGGCATCTTAGGGCTTTCAGAAGAGCAAAACTGTGGACACCCGAGCCAGCTACTCGAGATACAGCTGTCCCTTAGGATGGGGGAACGCTGGGGTATCTGCCAGAGATGGGGCCACCAGAAACACAATTGCAGGAAGGAAAACTCAACACACGGAGGCCTCAAATTGCTCCGCGAGTACACGGTATACTATTAAAAGGTTTTGAAAAGTTCTTTACTGCCAGCTGAACTTTCAGATCCAAGTCCCTGTTTGACATTTGGATTGTTGTAGGTTTCTACTAAATGCAAACAACAAAATCAGAGTTGTTTACTGTGCATTTGTAGGGCCCTGGAGTGGTGGGGACCGAACCCAGGGCAGCCAGGTGTGGCAGTGCATTCATGTAATCCCAGCACTCAGAGAGGTTGAGGCAGGAGGATCTCCAATTTGAGCACAGACTTGACAACTTCCTGGGATCCTTTACCATAAAGAGGGAGGGGTTAGGTCCTGCTGGTTAGCAGGAGCTCATTCCCACCTCTGGGCCTTCACACAGTTGCTGAGAAAGTGTATCTGATTGGCTCAGCTTGAATCTGGTGAATCAGTGCCCTGAGGCCAGCAGTGGGAGCCCAGCCCTGGGGAAGGGTTGTTCTGGGAAAAGGAGCTCACTGTGAGCCAAGTGGGCTTCCTGGTCCCTGGTCTCCACAGATGAGATGTGGTGTGACAGGTTTTGGCCTCAGTATGAATTGCTGAGTTATTATGGTGGTCATCTAACATGGGTAGCTAAAGCCCCAAAATAACAGCTTCTCTTTCCAGAGACTACCTCCCCCTTCTTCCCCATCCCAGGCCTGGATACAATTTCCTTTCACTTTTTCCTGTCACAAGGGAGACCTGGGGCTGGGGAGATGGCTCAGTGGAATAAGCACTTCCCTGGCAAGTGCAAGGGCCTGAGTTCAATCCTGGGTTGGGGGGGTGGGGAAAGGGGAGACCTAATGAGCTCAGCAGGTGTCACTAAACCTGCCCCTCAAACTCCACCCTTTGAAAAAGCTCATGAAGTCTTAGCCTCCTTTTTTCTCAGGCCAGAGGATTCCCTCACCTCTCTTGGAGAAAGTTCTCTCAGTGTCTAAAGAGTCAATAAAGGCTTCTTTTATCTTTCTTATCTCTCTACTGCCCTGCCAATAAACAAATACATAAATGTGTGAAGGGTGGGGGCGCTGTGTTGCATGGGAGGGGAAGGCAGAGAAGGCCTAGAGGTGCTCTCTGGGTCCCCTTCCTGGCCTATGGTGGCCACCAGCCTGGGTCTGCTGAGGCCACAGACTGTCCTGACACACAGAGGGGACGTGTGGCTTTGGCCTGGGGCTTTTGGACAGCAGGTAGTGGTCTGGGGGTTCTGCACCACCCGATCAGGCAATGAGGAGCTGCATGAAGGGAAGAGGGTTGCTTGTGGGGTGCACCCTGGGGGTTGGGGTTCTGGGACCAAGAGCAGTGGCAGGGGGCTGGCAAGGGCATGGGTTCCACACATGAGGCCCTGAGGTGCTGGTGTTGGCGGGTGTGAAGGCTCATTTGTGGAGCTAGAATAATAACATAGCCAGATGTAGTGGCACAGGCCGGTAATCCCAGGCTTGAGAGGGGAGGGGGATCACTATGAGTTTAAGACCAGCCTGAATACCTACTGAGATTGTCTCAAAAAACAAACAAAACTGAACCAAGATGTGTCACCTACATTACCTACTTTTTTGTGTGTGTGTTTGTGTGTGGCAGAACCGGGGATTGAACTCAAGCCCTTGTGCTTGCCAGGCAAGTACTTATTCTACTGAGCCATCTCCCCAGCCCCAACATTATCTACTCTCTAAAATGGATGTAAACTTCATGTACAGCAATCTTCTACTAATAAAAGAATCAGTCTAAACTGCATAGAAAGCTCCAGCCCCCCAAATACATAAATAATGACAATAATAATGCAGATAGAATATGCGTCTTAGTAGGGTCAGACAGTCTCCCTTTTCCTTGTTCCAGGCCAGGGTCCCCCTCGCTGGGCCATAGGCAAAAGGACCTTTGCGGTGATAGGCTGGGGACTTGCAAGGCTGGTCCTGGCCCTGCTGCTGCTTAGGGCTCAACTTCTGAAGAGTGGAGCTCCGCCAGGGCCAGCCAAGGCTGTGACTCCGCCCTGAGCGCCTGGTGAGAGGGCCTGCCCGCTGGTTCCTGCATTGCTTGACCCCAGGACATCCTAAGTCAGCATGGATGTTAATAGGCCCGACCTTTGGAACTGTGTGGGTGGAAGAGCAGAGGGAAAGGCTGCAAGACCCATCCTGGAGCTCAGAGGTCAGAGCAGCCTTTGCCCTCCTAGTTATTTCCTTACCAAAATGTCCCCATTCAGCCTCCAGGTGCTGGCTTGTTTATGGCCTGCAGCTGGCCTTCTGGGGGAGGGGCCGGAAGCCAGCTGCTGGCTGACTCGAGGGGGCTGTGGGGCAGCCTGTCCTTTTGTGGCTCCTCTCTGCTGGTGTGCAGACACCCCAGGAGACAGGAGGTCTATGGGCAGGTTGAGCGGGCTCCCCAGGATTTGGGGTGGGTGCAGGTGCAGCTGTAGTGCAAGAAGCGGGGTACAAAAGAGTTGCAGGAGATGGTGCCTGAGAACCTGGAACAAAGCTCTGCAATGAGCAACCAGAGGGCTAGAGAAGAGTCAGGGGTTTCCCCCGGTACTGGGTGCTGCCTGGTGCCCAGCCCTTGATGCAGGAAGCATCCAACAGTGCACAGAGGTTCCTGCAGTTCCCACCTGCCAGACATGGAGCCTCAGTTCAGAGAGGTTAAGGGCTCTAGCCAGGTCCCTGGGCCAGAGGCAGTGCCAGCCACAGGCCCTGAGTCTATAAACATCCTTTGCTCCCTGGGGGGTGCTGACTGGAAGCAGGGGAGTGTGGGGTTAGCATCTGTGACAAACTATGGCTGCCCCAAGAGTTGTTCTGCTATTGAACCCAGTGCCCTGCCATTGAGCTACATGCCTAACCCTTTCGTTTTATTTTTCAGGTTTTCTGAGGCAGCCTGTCACTACGCAGTTCAGGCTGCCCTTGAATTTACTATGTAGTCCAGGCTGGCCCGTGGGATCATCCTGCCTCAGCTTCCCAAGTGATAGGGTAACAGGTGTGCGCCATCACACCCTGCTCTCAATTTTATTGTTACTTATTTATTTAATTAATTTATATGGTACAGGGTATCAAACGTATGACCTTTATGCTTGCCAGGCAAGTGCTGTGTCACTGAGGTATATCCCTGGCCTCAATTTGATTGAGACGAGGTCTTTCTGAGTTGTGCAGGCTGACCTAGAACTTGAGATCGTCTTGCCTCAAACTCTCCAGTAGCTCAGATGGCGGGCACATACCACCATATCCTGCTAAATCATTTTTTTCTAATTTTTTTTTAATTTTTTATTTATTTATGTGTGTGTGGAGGGGGCAGGGCTGTCTGGCATGTGGTGCTGGGGGATTGAACCGCGGTCCCTGTGTTTTGCTTAGCTTAGCTTGTTCTAAGTAGGTGCTTTAGACCACTGAGCCATCTCACCAGCCCCATTTTTTTTCCAATTGAAATCTGCATTCAGGTCCCTGCACATTCACCTGCAGTCCTAAGCAACAGTACAGAGAGCTCCATAGGACCCTTCCCCAAGGGTGAGATGTCATCAAAAATACATGACAACCAGGGCATCCACGTGGCCACAGTGCACACATGGGATACAGACCTTCCCAACATTACACTCCTGTGCCGAGATGGTTCTCTGCAGTTTTATCCCACGTGCAATTCCCTGCTTCTTAAGTGTTTTCCTGCCCCCTTAACATTTTGTGTCACTTTCACAGGGCCTGGACAGTTTACCTCACTCATTCTTGAGGGGGGACAGGTGGGGTGGGGACCAGGCATGTTTAAAAAAGTGGGAGGTAGCTGGCATAGTGCCCAGCAGCCAGGGCCAGTCATTACCCTGTCAGGGCAGAATAGGACCGGCCACTGTGTGCAGGTAGGCTGTCAATCTGTCCTGACGAGAAGCGGTTCTGATGGGATTGCGCCTTTCACTGACTACAAGAAGGAACAGCTAGATGGAGGGTGTCATTACTGCCACCTTCCTAAGCCTGGAGGTAGGGTGAACACAGGGTGCAGTGGCTGGAGACATGATTCACAGCATGACTCACTGCCCAGAGCCACCGGAGGGAAGGCTCTCTTCCCTGGGGTGGGGGTGGGGGCCCTGTGTTCAGCCTTCCAAGCAGTCTCCAAGGGAACAGTGTCCATGCAGCTTCAAGAAGGGCACCAAAGGCCCTCCTCACAAGTCAAAGAAAATTCACGCCTCAGTTAGGCTTCTCTGCCTTTAGGGAAAAATACAGACTTTTGTATTTTCTTGCGGAACCGGGGACTGAACTCAGGGCCTTGTGCTTGCCAGGCAAGCACTTATTCTACTGAGCCATCTCCCCGGCCCCTGTTTTTTCTTTTTGAGCCATGGGTAGCCCATTCTGGCCTTGAATTTGGAGCAATTCTCCTGGCTTAGCTGGAATGCTGGGGGCCAAGGCAGGAGAGGTCCTGCCACTGTGCCTGGGAGAATGTGACACAATTCTCATTGTGCAACACATTATTATTATTATTATTTTGCGGAACCGGGGATTGAACTCAGATCCTTGCGTTTGCCAGTCAAGCACTTATCCTACTGAGCCATCTCCTTGGCCCCTAGACACACTATTTCTTTCTTTTCTTTTTGGTGGAACCAGGGATTGAACTCAGGCCCTTGTGCTTGCCAGGGAAGCACTTATTCCACTGAGCCATCTCCCTGGCCTCTAGACACACTTTTCTAACAGTTTTAGATTTACAGAAAAGATGACACAGAGAGGTCCCCAAGCCCAGTTTTCTCCATTATTAACATCTTATATTATTGGGGGTGTTTGTCATACTGAATGAATACTGATATATTATTAAAAAGGCCAGAAACAAGGAAAAAGTAAAAACTAAAGCCCTTACTTTGTTCAGTTTTCTTTCTTTCTTTTCTTTTCTTTTTTTTTTTTTTTTTTTTTTTTTTTTGTGGTGCCTAGGCCTTTGCACTGAATTATATCCCTATCCTTTTTTTTTTTAATTGTTTTAAATTTTAAGGCAGGGTCTTGAGTAAATTGTTAAAGTGCCCAATTCTGAGATGGAACTTTTGATCCTCCTGCCTCAGCTTCTCAGAGTGCAGGGATTATAGGCCTGTGCTAGCACAGATTTCCTTACTTTTACCTAATGTCCTTGTCTGTTCCAGGATACTGCCTGGAAGCCCATGTCTCATCAGGCTCCTCCTGGTATGACAACCTCCAGTACTCCTAATGGCAGATAACTTTCTATGCAGTTACATCTTTATCTCCCAATGTCACTTGTATTCACATTCTGTCTGTGGCTTTCTTCTATTTGGAGTCAGGGTCTTATGTGGTTCAGGCTGGCCTTGAACTCAAGGCACTCCTCCTGCCTTACTTAGCCTTTGGGGAGAGCTAACCCTCTGTGAGGTGGGCTAGGCAACCCCTTGGTCTAAGTCCTGCCTGTCTGCCAGAGCTGTGGAGATGTATGTGGGCCTTCCACGTTGGGGCTTTCTCTCTAGAATGAGAACATCCCTCTGACTCTGGGGACTGGTTGGATGCTCTGCATCAATCTCTGAACTATGCGGCAGAACATCCCGAGGCAGAGGGTTCTCTTCTGTACTGGTGCTGTCCATCAGGGTAGTTTGTCAAGCCACGTGTGGCTGCTGAGTATGAGATGTGGTGAGTGTGACTGAAGATCTGAAAACTGATTTGTAATTGGAACTTAAGTGTCCTAGTCACACGTACCCATAGTGCAGGGCGGTGTACATAGCCTTGTACACTGGGGTTCTTAGGCCTGTCCCACACTATTCCTGTCCTGCCTGTGAGGCCACGCCCTGGCCTTGTCCCTGGGCCACATGTTGCCCTGTGGCCTCTGGGAGTGCTGGGCTTGTCATATCCTGGGCAGCATGATCCAGTGCCAAGTTTGCGACTAGGAGGTAGGCTGGTAACCTGTGGCCTCCAGCAGCAGCCCTTGGGGGAGGGGACACAGGGGCAGCACTGTATGGGTCTGCCCCTAGTAGCAGAACACCTCCCGGGTGGCACCAATTCCCCCTCTTGGTGGATTTCCCAGAGACACCCTGAACTCGAGTGTTCTCTTCTCCAACTGTACTTCCTTTGCTGCCACATGAAGGGCACAGCCAGGGCACCTCTGCTTGCCTTCGGGGGTCTCTGTCCTCCTGTCTCTAACCATCCCATAATCCAGGCTGGCTGCTGCCCCATGATGACTTCAAGGCCCAGATCACGGTCCTCCGCTTTGTGACCCAGTCCTGCCAGGTTTAAAGCTCTTGGACCTCAGCAGAGATGGCAGCCGGCTAACCTGGTTCACCAAGCTGCACGTGTCCAGCTGCCTGCCCCAGGCTGGATCTCAACGCTGCCGCTTAGCGGTCTTTTCCTTCTCTTTTGGCAGATTTGTTCCTTTTTGCCTCTGGACCTTTGTACAAATGTGTCCTCTGCCCAGAACATGGGTTTCTCTCTCCGAATCAGCCTGTTGATCTGTCCCATCTCTCCTCACACAGAGGGACTCCTCGAACGAGCAGTGCTCCCTGTCCGGGAGCTCTGAGCGCTGTCTTCTTGTGCAAGCGTGTATGTCCGCGTCAGCTCAGCAAAGAGCGCAACCGCCACCGTCCCAGGCTGCTCAGAGGTCGCATTCTGGTGCAAAACAGTGATAGATAGAGGGAATGTACAAACAAACAAACAAACAAACAAACAAACAAACAAAAATTGTGCCTAAAGAAAAATGGCAAGCAAGGATCAGGTGAGATCGGGAGGCTTCCACCTGGCCGAGAAGCTCCAGAGCGGCGCCCTCTCCGTCTGCGGCTGCGCGCTCGGCCCACCGGCGCCCCGAAGGCGGAGCCTATGGCAGCCAAGCCCCGCCCCCAACACGCCTCCGGCGCAAAGGCTCCGCCCCCCC